CGGCAGGTTATCCTTGCCCTGAAGAATAACCCTATCTCCAAGCCCGGGAGCANTNGAACGGTCGCCATCGCCCAGCTCGAACTGAGCAGTCTCGTACCCGGGGTCAGGCGGGCTAGGAGTTAGGGCCAGGCTCTTTGTAGCTCGAGTCCCGCTGCCATCTTGAGGACGATTCGAGCTCGGCCGCGGGAGAGTAGTCGGCGCTGAAGCTCGCNTCNAGCTAGAAGCAGTCTCATCACGAGACTGANGGGACTGACGAGTTCTCNNGATCAGAGGAGCCGAATCCGCTGAGCGCCCGCTTNAAGATTCTTCGTCTTGACGAGACGAGTANTGGAGACGCTCAGATTCNNCNGAATGGGCNGAAACGGACTCCTCGCGTTCATTTGAGTCAGACATGATTGCAAGTATGGAGAATCGAGATCGGAAGCTTAAGGAAGCGTTAAGAACAAGANCGGAAGAAAACGAGGTCGAGCAGCGAGAAAAGTATNGAGAAGTTAGAGAGAAGGCAGAGAGAGAAAGTACTTTCGCAAAAGTNAGNAAAACGCAGAATGAAAAATGAAGGGGGGAAGGGTTGTTTATATAGGCCGAGGTCGGGAAGACGAAGAGTCACCTCGATGCTCGCACCCCGCCCAACGACAGCCAATCAGAAGCGAGGAAGAAATGGGCCGAATGTTTCGTGGGCCTTGAAACCGCATCGACGAGCCCAAAGCCCATCTACTCGCCGACTGGGGGGGGCTACTGTTGGGCATGGGCTTCAAATATTGCCACTTTTGAAGCCTATTTCCGAAAAAGACCCAGCGAACAGAATGACCCAATAACACTCGGCCCAGAAGAGGAAAGCACGACGAGCTCGGCCCAGAAGGAGGGAGTCTGCCGAGCTTGCCCAAGCAACTGATGATTCAAGCCCAAAATAAGCCCAGCCGCCTCTTGCATTGAATGACATCAGCACTGGTCCCAAGGAAGCCCTAGTACCTTATTCTCTCCACTTTTAGTATAAATAGGGGGTCCCCATCCCATGAGGAAGGGGATCACGTTTCCACTTTTGGGCAAGTACAAGGGAATTTGAGAGCTTAAAGCAATCATTCTCTAACACCAAAAGGGAAAGAATCACCTGATCGAGCCTGATTGGTCAGAAAGGACAAGAACTACTCGTGGAAAGGCTGCGCAGAGTTCGTACNTATCACACCGGCATTCCGACCTCGAGTGCACTTATCATCAGGTTCCGACCTCCGATTCACCGACCTCGTCGTCCAGTTATTCAGTCAGTTTGGATCTCTAACCCGATCTCGTTTTCAATTACAGGTTCCGACCTTGAAAGCGACGGTTTCATAAACTCACTCAGATACTCAGATAACCGAACACAAGGTTCGTCAGCCGACCTAAGCTTCTGAGCTCAATACACAATCTTTTTCTAGCATGTACAGTTCTCTATGTAGTAGCCCGTTTCCGAGTTAATATCAATAAACGAGAATTTCCGATCCTTTACCGTATATAAATTTATTGTCGAACTCATGGATCAACAAAAACTATTAAAAGTACATGATATAGTTTGATGAAAAACCAGTATATATATATACTTACTAAAGGTGTGGTAAGATAGTTGTTAGCACTTATAATAGATTTTATTGTGCTCCTAATTTAATCTCTCTTAGAAGAAAATATATTCTCAAAAAAAAAAAACTAAAGGCTAACTCTACGAAGACTAGAGTTTCGACCTTAACTTCAAAATTATTTGTTTTGTTTAGATTCGTATCGCTGAAGTAGTGCTTAAAAATCAATCTACGTTGTTTTTTTTACGGGAATTCGACTTTACATTTGCGAAAAGAAAATGAAAAAAAATGGTCAAGTGGACTCCGCGCGTTAGAGAAAAAACAAAAATCTGTACCCTTCTCCCGTCCAAAATAAACAAAAAAGATTTGTACCGTACTTCGCTAATTCAAACCTCGCATCATGCAACTCATACAATCAATTTCAAGTTGTTATTTTTGTATAGGTGGACACAATTATAATGTTATCATTCACTTATGTGATTTTTGTGTTTGTTTATATATATTGAAAATTCTCTCACACTCGAATAATAATAAAAACACAAAACGTTGCAGCATTTTAAGCAAAAAAACCACTGCTTACATCTTCACAAGAAAACACAGGAGAAAGAAATGATACAAAAGCAAATAAAAGATGTCATCTTCAATAGCTCCCCTTTCGACTCCAAGGAGGAAAGCAGCAACTCTGCACATGACAATATCCAATGGACGTCAGTTTAATTAGTAAGATCAACCGAAATTTCCAATTATAATTTTTTGGCTGAATAAATACATACGTACCTTGGGACTAGAAGGTAAGGGCTGATGACGTTGGTCGTTAATGGGTCGTGTCGGGGTGCTATGAGCTGTTCCATTGTAAGAACTCTCACTCTGGTTCCTATCTTCTTTCACTTTGTCAAATATGAGCGTGTAACTCTGATTCTCCGAGCCCGATATAGGAAACGGCGGAATAGTCGCCACCTAATTGAAAAAAACACACTTATGAATTGTGACACTCATATTTTGTAATCAAAAGGGTTTAAGAAACAAAGATATCCATACCCTTTCACGGCTCTGACCTCTGAGGTTGCGTATCGGCCTAGGTTGGACCGGTGGAGGATCATGTGGTTGGCGTCTATTAGTTTCCCCAGATGATCTGCCTCCACCACCGTATGATTGGTGATTGTAAGTCTCTGGTATGGGAGGAGCTCTCACTATGTTGTTTCTATTGTTGTGTGCTGGAGAAGGTCTGAATTCTGTTTCTTCCCTGCTATTGAATCTTTCGTGTCTTGGTCTTACATTGTGGTTTGGTGGTTGGTCCTGTCTAGAATTTCGAGTTTGTGCAGGGTTTGGGTTCATATCTGGATACTCGTCGGGCTTAGACACGTTTGTATTTTTCTTTGACCGGCTCGCTTTATCGAACACGACCGTAAATGGAGCATCTTCAGTCCAGTCTCCGAATTTTGGCACGTGAGTACGATTCTGTAACCGCAACAGAAACAAAGAACTTCTTAGAAACATAGTCTTGCAAATTGCATAAAGAGACATGACTATTATCAGAATCATCTTGGTGATATTAAGGAGATTAGCAAGCATGAGATGTTCATATGCAAAAACAAATTTTTTAATTTGTCAACAGATTCAAACAAAAAAAAAACTTCATTGGCATGCTATATTATGCCGATTTAGAAAAGAATTACTAACATGTTTGACATTTTCTCTACATTTCCACAAAACAAGACACGAAAACAGAGTGAGAAGACAAAAATAACTGGTTGGAAACAAAATGCTTAAGAAAATAGATTAAAAAACGGACTTACTGCCATATTTCTGAATCTCCAGGAGCCAGAAATGAAGAATTGCGTCGATGGGTCTGAAAC